TTCAAGTGTTATAATAAGATTTTCCATACATAAGATAATGATAATATTAAGTGGGCTTCAAAAGTATAAAAATATTCCGTTTTCGGTTGGGTTTGACGATATTTCAGAGCAACAATTTGGACATAATACTTATTTTATCTCAGAATGTGTATTTGGTGTGAAGGGCACCGGATACCAATAGTTAGATGGTCCTTTGTTCGGAATTGTACCTTAAAGTTATAACTGATTGAGATATTTACTTGGCTCGTTTTAGATGTAACTTCATATCAATTCAACATAACATTTAGAAACGACAGGATGTATTCGGCAAACAAGGAAACTGCAAGTGAAGTCTGTTTTGTTACAATAATACTATTGAAGATAATTACGCTTTGACATGATTTGCAATGTCCATGACGTCATTTGGTCAAAATAGTTTATGTATACAGAATAAAATGTATGAGAATGAATTGGAATAAAGATTATACGATCACTTAAAGGAGAAAACATTTGTTAATATAATCATTGGTTTTTATCGACGCAAATAGATGAGGATATAGGATATTAACATGAACCTATAATGTGTTTATTGAGGAAATAGTCCGACAAAAGCGCACAAAACACATTTATCAACACAATACATGAACTGATAACAGTACATGTCAGCTTCAGATTATATAGTTGAGTTATTGAGCCATAGCCGTATGCAGCGTAAAGCATGGGCAAAGATGTATCGTAGCTGTATCAAGTCATGAAATATCTAATTTAATTCAAGTGTAACTTCAAAGCACTTCACACATTAGCCCGCAATGTCGATAGGCAAACACTTCTGTTTAAAGAGCATTTCAGCCAGGATGTGATGGTTTTAAAACGTTCAACCCACTAACTTCACTCAAGGTAGATAAGCACATCTTTACCAGCAATGGCGGGGGTGGTATATATATCCTTCTTTGAAATATTTTGAATGCCAGTTACATGATGAGGGTAAGTATGCGGTATGCGACCGAGAGAGCGGAAATAAAGGATAAACTGATTTCATGTGTAATCTCAGCGAGGTAGATTGAAGGAGAGGATCCTTCCACGATCTGTCTAGACTGGGAGCAGCGTCATTATACAACGCCAGTCCGACATTATTTTTTGCTTTTGTTGCTATAAACGTATGTTGAACATTGACATTGTCATGTAAAAAGGTCTTAGTGAAACTACGATAATTGTTTCATTGTTAGGCCAATAGAAAAGTCTTAATAAAACTATGGCAATTGTTTCATTGTCATGCCAATAGAAAGGTCTTAATAAAACTATGGCAATTGTTTCATTGTCATGTCAATGGAAAGGTCTTAATAAAACTATTGTCATGTCAATGGAAAGGTCTTAATAAAACTATGATAATTGTTTCATTGTCATGCCAAAAGAAACGTCTCAATAAAACTGTGGTAATTGTTTCATTGTCATGCCAAAAGAAACGTCTTAATAAAACTATGGTAATTGTTTCATTGTCATGCCAAAAGAAAGGTCTCAGTAAAGCTATGGTAATTGTTTCATTGTCATGCCAAAATAAACGTCTTAATAAAACTATGGTAATTGTTTCATTGTCATGCCAAAAGAAACGTCTCAATAAAACTATGATAATTGTTTCATTGTCATGCCAAAAGAAACGTCTCAATAAAACTATGGTAATTGTTTCATTGTCATATCAGTAGAATGTTGATAGAAAGGACTCAACGGAAATATGGTAATTGCTTTATAGTGTTTCTATTTCCGATATTATGAAATTCAAAACCCACTGCAGATTTCCACCGTCGCAATATGCATCTATTCTCTCGGTAACATAAGTAGCAAACATGATGATAAATTCTGCAAACCGTCTAGAGGCATCCCGCAGCTCGTGACATGGAACTGAATCTCGGAACCTGATCGACCATTATTCAATGTTGTATTTGTAACAAAACGAGTTATTGTCAACTAAAACAGCAAAGCGTAGAAGAGCAGATCTAACTGTTTCTTCCACACTGAGTAGAACAGTAGATTGAATTGTTGTTTTTCCACAGTGACGTGTACATTAGATCTTACTATTGTTTATCCAAATGAGCAGTGCATTAGATCTTACTATTGTTTATCGAAATAAGCAGTACATTAGATCTTTCTATTGTTTATCCAAATGAGCAGTGCATTAGATCTTACTATAGTTTATTGAAATGAGCAGTACATTAGATCTTACTATTGTTTATCCAAATGAGCAGTGCATTAGATCTTACTATAGTTTATTGATCCAAATCTTACTATTGTTTATCCAAATGAGCAGTGCATTAGATCTTACTATAGTTTATTGAAATGAGCAGTACATTAGATCTTACTATTGTTTATCCAAATGAGCAGTGCATTAGATCTTACTATTGTTTATCGAAATGAGCAGTACATTAGATCTTACTATTGTTTATCCAAATGAGCAGTGCATTAGATCTTACTATAGTTTATTGAAATGAGCAGTACATTAGATCTTACTATTGTTTATCCAACTGAGTAGTACAGTATTTCTTGTTGATGCTTATTCACACGGATTATTACAATATATCAAATTGTTGTGTATCGTCCGTGAATAGTAAGGAGATCTTATCGTGGGTGCAAAGAGGATGGACTTTCTTTACAAGCCTGATAATGGTGTTATAGATAACGGCAAATGCTTTGGATCTGGAAGACGAGTATCGTGAGAAACGATTACGTATATGTGGGCTTGAGACGCCTTTCAACAAACCATAACACCATGTATGTAATCAGCGATACATACTTTCTACTCAACCATATGGCCTACGTCAACAGATGAAACTTATTTCAAGAAGTTTATTTGATTTTTAACACGTCATCCTTCATTGCACTCATTAGCTAAATATATTTTCATTCATTTCACGCGATGAGTATTATCTAATCTGTAACTCAGCAAATATTCATGAAACTATCAACGTGCCAGAGAAAAACTAGTCTTGACTATCCCCCGGAACCGATTCCAGTGAGCATGAAAGGCAAGGAGCATGTGAAGTATGTGAAAGCATAAAGCGAGATGTTTGTAAAAAGGGTATTCCCTTAAAGGGTATAGACTTTTCACGAACACCGAGCTTTATCACTGGTTTTACTATACATGCCGTCGACAGTAGATGATACACAAGAAAATCTGGCTTTTTATATTCGATTCCTAGAGTGTTTTCTAATTGTGAAGCTTTAGGAGAGGATGTTTGATAACTATAAATAATAACATTTTGATTTTGAAAAGTTAAAACGTACACATGATGATGTGTATGCAGCATACCCAATGAAATATTTGTAAAGTACTAAGTAAAACTGATAAAATGTCCGAACAGTGCTCATGTTGAACACGACAATGATGATGAAACTTATCATCTGCGTGGCAATACAGTGTATGATCCCTAGGAAGTTGAGAATGAAACCGAATGATTCCTTCCGTCACCACCATGAACTGCTGGGGCTAGTGAGTATGGTTGCATGCAGCTTTTAGCTGTAATTCAGCACCATCACGACTGGGGACATCAGAAATAGGCTTCACGCAATGTAACAAATGTGGGAACGATGTGTGCTGCGTCATGACGAGTGAACACTTTAACCACATACATGGCCGGGGTGCTCAGAGTTTGATGGGAGGTACTTAAACGTTTAACTAGACTTATTATTGTTATAATAAAAAACCCTAACCAATGCTGCTAGGTTATTGAAACATGGCAATAACATGAACTGTCTAATATTCCTTTTTACTGTCAATGCAAGACCAAAGACATTCAAAGCTTCAGTCCGTTGAACATTTACATCCCAACGCCAAACATATTAGTGCTAAAACTTCATCAGTTGTCAACTGGCCAGATGTAACTCATCCCACCCATCACATTTAATATCTAAATATTTATATCTAGTTTTCACTAACTGGGGTCTGGAGAAGAACTTACAGATCGATTCACATTGATTTCTTATATTCTTGTATAGTGTTTACTGTGGTCAGGGGCAACTTGTACTGCTTGGTTCTACGTTGTACTGTAATAATAATAGTAATAATAATAATGCATATTTATGTGTGCGCTCAATCCACCTCGACAGACATGCTCAAGGCGCTACAGAGTCAAGTATGAACATATGTACAGAAGTAATACAAGAGCACATTAAGGGAGATACTGCTGGAAGAAGTAGGTTTTAAGTTTGGACTTGAACAAGTCGAAATTGTCAATAGTTTTGAGATCATAAGGAAGAGAGTTCCAGAGAGTAGGGGCTGCATAGGTGAAAGAGCGCTGTCCGAAAGTTTTCAGTCTGAAGCTGGGCACAGTGAGCAGATCCTGGCTGTTGGAACGAAGATTGCGTGAACTGGAGTATGATGATGACATGTTAGACAAGTACTGGGGAGCAATTGCTATGTCATGTTCTCTTCTTGGTCATGTTCTGGTAAATGTTGGTGCCATGTGCTGGTGTAGTTGGCACCATGTTCCAGAAATAGCTTCGTGCCACGTTCTAGGATAGTACGATACTTTGATGTGGTATATTGTCGTGCCACGTTCTGGGATAGTACGATACTTTGATGTGGTATATTGTCGTGCCACGTTCTAGGATAGTACGATACTTTGATGTGGTATATTGTCGTGCCACGTTCTAGGAGAGGTACGATACTTTGATGTGGTATATTGTCGTGCCACGTTCTAGGATAGTACGATACTTTGATGTGGTATATTTTCGTGCCATGATGTAGTGTGGTGCCATGTTCTCGTGTAGTGTTACGTCATGTTCTGTTGTGTAGTGTAGTATCATGTACTGGTTTATCTTGACACAGTGGTCTGTTGGGCGGTGGGGTAGTCTTGTGGTTAAAGCGTCCGCTCGTCACGCCGAAGACCAGGGTACGATTCCTCACATGGATACAATGTGTGAAGCCCATTTGTGGTGTCCCCCGCCGTGATATTGCTGAAATATTGCGTCATCAAGTTATGGATTCAGGTTCATAATCAAAGAGGCTAAGAATATTTCACTCATTTCAGATGCGGATAACCCAGCCTCTCCTGCACAAGCATACAAACCGTTTTGCGAATTCACCCAGTTCCACCGGAAGTGTCTTTGGGGAGTGCTCCTCGCCATCTTGATCGCCGTCACATGGGTTGCGTTCTCGGAATTGGCTCAAAATGCCAGTCAGCCGGGTTTTGACGCTCCCTTCGCCCTCTCCTACTTCTGTACGATCTGGGTGATCGTGTTCCTCCCCGTGTACATGATAATGGTCAACGTGAGGGGGAAGAAATCGCCAAAGGACATTTTAAGGTAACAGATTACATCATACTTTAACTGGTCACGGAAATCGTTTGTTCGGCGTTCGCATGCAAAAATACCCGACAAACTAAGGGTTGATATTATGAGCAAAGCCCACACTGTGGGCGTACCATTTGATCAATCCCATCTCAATGCCAGAACAATCGATCCCTTTACGACAATCAAAGAATGCTAGGGATCTATTCTTACCGGAATCCCGTGGCGGTGTTAGTTCCCTCTTTAGACTAGACGTGTAATTAGTGCCTTCGATTTGATTAAAATCAGATCTGTTCACTCTGATACAATACCTGTCTGGGTGAAGAGCAGAAGACCCCCCAATACAAGGTCACGTTAGAACCTTCTAATCAGTACTAGTAACAATACATTCAGACTGGCATATTTGCTGTCTGTATCTCGAAAACGAATCGGAACGTCAAGTTCCGAATGTAGATGAATAAGACCGTGACTTATTACTGTTGCAGGTACTTTATATGCCCAAAATGATTCCTTGTGTCCTTTGCGGATTTATACTTTGTAGGAATCGGAAACTCTCAATCGAAGTAGTAAAGGAAAGTCGAAACGGAAAGTTTCAGAAATCTGATATCTGTTCGGTTCAAGAACACAGTCATTTTGCATTCAGATTATGCGGTCAAACTTCGTCTAGGGTGTTGGTATATATTTAAGCAACGAAGAGATTGATGTT